GGGGGGGGGGGGACTAAGCTCGCGACAGGTTCCAATGAACCTTGAACAAACTTCGGTCGCTGCGACCACGTACGGCTTGCCCAAGGGCTGCCACCTCTGACCGCTGCGGTCACATAGAGGCATGAGCCAACTTGGAATTCCAAAAATGAGACATTCATCCCACTTCTTGTGGCGTAAGCCATCTGCTGTCCGCTCCGGACACTTACATCTCCGGGCAGGGGAGATAACGACAAACCCCGTTCGACGGGTCCACGGGAGGCACTCTACGGGCTCATCCCGGGTTGGCGCGAGGCCAAACACACTTAGGATAGGGTGTGCTGAACTGAAAGCGGTGCCACACGCCGGCCTAGGTTACCATTTCCTAAGAGTACAGGTAAAACCTAATGGAGGCTGGGGGTCTTCAAACGGAAGTGAGGCCCAGAGCGCAAGCACCAAATCGACGAGTTCGGATCGACAAGATGACGGCGGTCCGTGCGCATCTGCAGAATTAAAAAGGAATAAATGGCCACCAGCTGCATCTTACAATGCGCCCAGGTGCACCAAGCAGGTACGTTTTCACAACAGCTTGGATGGGTCTTCATTGGCCCATGCCATCCAAGTGTCCATGGGCCCCCTGCTAAAAAGGAAAAACAATTCAACGGAATCCCTGTGATTACAAGGGGTACACACACACAGACAAAACTTTACTAATTTATCCTAGCGGGTTAACAACCGCGCTAGTAGTCGTGCATGTTTCATCAAAGCACGACAACGTTGTCCCATGTTGTCACACTTGGCATCAAATTAGGCACCTTTGCATTTTCTTTGTAAATCACAGCATTTTGCTATGTTGAGCCAGAGCAATTCCTTTTTTTGTACTTGTTCGCCCCAAACAGCCACAGGCACGTCGAACATGGGTCAGAAAAAACGGACCTGTGGCCTGGCCAGCCCTCTATTGCAAAGCTCACCTGAATAAGGGGCAGTCCGTGCCACTGGCTTTAAGGCATCCCAGCAAAGCCAAAAAGAACAAAGCCAACAAAAGCTTCACAAAGCCTGCAGCTATCCAAAGCGACTCACCTAGCTTGCCCACTGAACCGGCAGGCAACAAAGGTCGCAACCCACTACTGCCAACGCAATGAGTTTTTTATTTCCCTGCAGGATGCCTAGAGGAAGCCCGGAAGGAGCATAGCGACTCCTTGAAGTGCTTAGACCGACTTGTATTCCTCAGCAGCGCGCCTTCTACGTTTCAAAAGCATTGGGGCACCGGCCGTCCTTCTTTGCAACGGTTGGTAGATTTCCTACAATCTCTGGCCGAAGGGTTGTTGGTGGACCGAGGAAGACAGCGGAGATGCTTTGCGGCGGCAATTCTTTCTGGCGTGGCTTTGCGGCCTGAAGCCTGTTACCAGCCTGGCGCAAGCTTGAAAACTGGGGAGCAGCTGGAACGCGGGGCGGTGTAAGGAAGCCGCTCCTGTACCTCCGACTGTGGTTTTGAACCTCAAACCTGCGTTCTTCACTTGCCAGCCTTAGGATCGCGCCTTCTTGGGAGCTATGTCGTATTGCTGGAAGCATTTGCGTTGGGGCGACAGCTCAAGAGGGATATGTTCGCGAACAATTAGCCACAAGCGCGCCGTGATTTGGACATGCGATGTGAATTCTGCGGATCTC